AGAACAGCTTTTTATCCCCAGTCATGTGATGTGAGCATCCACTATCAAGAATCCAAACGTTGTCTGCCATGCTCACTTGGAGACAGGTCTGTATCTCATTCTCCTCAATGTCACTCCCTTCTATTGCCATCTAAGCTTCTTGCTTGGTGTCATCTTCGTCTTCATCATCCTCACTGCAACTCCAAGTAGCTGCGTAAGCTTTTTCTTTCTTCATCTGAGGACATTCTGCCTTGACATGTCCTGTCTTGCGACACTTAAAGCACCCAGCTTGATTGGGAACTCTTTCTGGGACCATTCCTTCTCTTCTGTTCCTTGATCCAAATCTATTGGATCGACTGAATTCCTTTTCATTTTCTCCATCTTTTGATCTGCTTATCATGCCTCCTCGTTTCTTCTCTCTTCTTATTCGAAGTAGTTTAGCTACATGTTTGCTGAGCATGGCCAGCTCGTCATCTTCCATCTCTTCCAAGCACTCCAAATCATCTTCTTGAGTAATTGCTTTGAAGGCAATTCCTTTCTTCTCCCTTCAAGGCTCGTCGACATCTTCCCTCTTCAACTTTTCTTCATGTGTAGCTAAGGACCCAATAAGCTCATCTAGGCTAAGCTTGTTGAGATCCTTAGACTCCTCGATTGCTGTTACCTTTGGAGTCCATCGCTTCGGAAGAGCCCATAGAATCTTTCTGACCAGATCAGCACTGGCATATTCAACTTCCAGGTTCCTCAAGCTGTTCACGATTGTTGTAAACCGTTCGTTCATTTCTTTTATCGACTCTTCTGGCTTCATAATGAAGGATTCAAACTCCTGCTTGAGGCTGTTAATTTTGGACAATTTAACATGAGAAGTTCCTTCATGAGCGATCTGCAACTTGTCCCAGATTTCTTTGGCATTCTTGCACCCCGATACTCTGTGATACTCCTCAGGACCCAGGGCGCAATACATCAAATTGGTGGCTTTCGAATTCATCTGGAAGTTTTTCTTGTCAGCTTCGGTCCACTTCCCTCGAGCCTCCTTCACCTCGAGAGGGTCATCCATTACAATGTTCCAAAGGTCAGGATCTGTTGACCCTATGAACAATTCCATCCGATTGTGCCAGTAGCCATAGTGAACCCCTTCGAATCTGGGTGGTCGTGTTTGAGAAAATCCATCCGCCATGAAAATTCCGCTCGCTGATCCCGAACTCATCGTATCCGCAGGCGATTAAGCCCTTGCTGCTGGAGCCGGGCTCTGATACCACGTGTTGGTTGAGTCGAGTGCGAGACTCTGGCGATGATTCCCTCTGCCTCTCCGATCAATTGATACTCTGCTTAACCCTAATTTCGATTTTGGCAAGAACAAGTGAAGAAAGTGGAATAAGCAGAAAAATGAATCGATGAAAGGATATAATGACTTCCCTTTCGTGCTCACCAAAACGACAACAAATTCAAAACTGAGACTTGAAGTGGGCCGGGCTTAGTTGGTTCACAATCTGTCGATTTGAAGTTGGCCTGGATTACTTGTATGAAGCGCTGCGTTTCACAGACTCTGTTTCCTTCTTCTCACCTTGTGCAAATCGATCAAGACCTGTTCTACCCAAGAACTTGAACTTGTACTAAATCAAGAACACAAATGCAGACTGGAAATAAAATGCAGCAGAATAAAAACACAAATGAACACAGGCACAATATTTTTACGTGGTATCCGGTGTTAGGTGATTAATGAATCTAACACCGACTAATCCACGGTAGGAGACTCTCCTCTTGAGATCTCCTACTTAATCACTATGATTTGTTTTCTTCTTACAGACTTTGGCCAGCTCTGAATCAGCTCCCTGCTGATCGACCAAACGAGAAATCTCTAGTGATTCAAACTCCCCGTTCAATCACCCTTGTTTTCCCTGCTAATCTCCCCGATATGCTTTCACGATTATACAAAAGACTTTCGCTCTTTCTAACACTCTCTTTTGTTTTCAATCGCTTGGGAAAAAACTCTCTTCTACTGATCCCTCACTCAAACTATATACTCTTGCTTATCTGAGGACCGTTAAAGATGAATCTGGCTGGAGAAGGTAAGTATTTGATTCTTTCCATTTCTGCTTGATTCTGATTTGACTTTCCAAAACTGCCGTGCTGAAGATATGATGCAATCTGCTACTTTCTTCTCTCAACAATCTTGTGGTAATGTCACTAGTTTAGAACCTGGAGGTCTCAGGTTCGAATTCTTTAAGTAGTACCTTAATCACAATAAAAGAAAAACCTATGTCACCCTTATCTAAAAAAAACTTGCCTTATTGTTTGAGACTTTGACAAATAATAAACCAACTTTTTTGGCTTTAAATTTATGCATGTGGTCACCATCCCAACACTGGGAAGTGTTTTTGGTAACCATCGTTGCAACATCTCCTGACTTGATGGAATTTGAAAAATATTCTGATACCTAGAATATTGCTTTTGTCTTAGCTTGCCAAGAAATGGGATGGCATGACTCCCTGACATCTTAACTTGACCAATACTGTCAAGTTCCCCCTTCTCCTTTTCAATGTACTCACAAATGGGTTTCTTAACATGTTTTTCACTTTTGATTTTCTTAGACTCATGTTTACATATACTTCTTTGCAATGGCTTTCGAAAGCAATCTCCCTTTTTTGCACCTTTACAAGCAATGCTGTCCATTAGAAAGGACACAATTGCATTGCTTGCTTCTGCCAACAACGATGATGCCAAAATAGAGGATGAGTCTTTATTGGCATAATCTAATCCACTACCAATTTGATCATTAGAAACTTAATCTTTTTACTAGTCAAGCATAACAAGTTGGATTGATCACCACCTTTACCATGATGTTGTGGATTGTCCATCGAAATGACCAGATACCCGACTTTCTCATTAACCAACTGTGGCTAACAACCTAAACCACGAACTTTGGTCAATGCTTACTGTTTCACTTTTTTCACTCACCAAATCTTTGTCGCTCAACAACAAGATTTTTTCTAATACAATAAATGCATCATGCATAATTTTACACTTTGACATTTCAAAATCATAAGCATATCTATCAAGCATCTTATCACATGCTTTATCAAAGCTTGTTCGAGATGATCAAAATGCTTATGTAAAGAATCCAAGTAAAGATGTACATGTTGGTCGATTCTATAAGAGTCCAACCACCATTTGATGAATCTCCTCCATTTGGCAGAGTGAGGGCACTGCTTCACCTGGATCTGCATTTGGCACCAAAAGTGACACCGCTACGCCAATAGTGTTGGTTGAAGTCCCTCCAATTTGGTCAATTTCAACATTGACCAACTTCTCCTCCTCCACAATACCTTGTGGAAGATCATCTTTTTGCTGCCTCCGTCGCGAAGCCATACCAAACACACGTGTCCCATTAGGCGTGCCAATTTGTTGACGGTGGAAAAAACGGGTGGATGGGTTGCGCCTTACTTTTATGAAAGTGACGATTGTTACTATGGTCCAATCTCTTCAAAGACTGTTCGAACGAGGGTGTTTGGTGTATGTGGAATCTAATTTACCTTACACTACTCCTATGGAGTATGGAGATTCCTTGAGAGCTCCGTGACTACGACTAAGACTACTACTATGGAGGATCCTTCATGGAGGAAAGCTCCTCAAACTACAGAGAAAAATGAAAAAGGACAGTTGAGACAAGTTATTTTTTTGTTGGAATGTGATTGTCTGCCTCTCTCCAGAAGGTTGCTTCAACTTTTGTTGCATAGAGTCATCCAATTGCTTTCTCTCTCCTCCTTCCAAAAAGTAGCTCCGCTTAGCTTCTACATAAGTTAGTTGTCGTCATAGGAAGTCTACAGACACCTCACAATGTCATCATGTTTCAACATGGATGGAACCATCCAACTAGTATGGTATCCATGATACGAGATGGTACCATCCAATAAGTATTTTGGATGGTATCCATGATATGGGATGATACCATCCAATTAGTACTTTGGATGGTGTCCGTGATATGGGTTGTTACCATCCACCGTAGGGTTGGATGGTTTCCATGATATAGGATAGTATCATCCAATTAGTACATACGATCTGATACCATCCACCATAGGGTTGGATGATATCTATGACGTGGGATGGTCACCATCCACTAAGAGATTGGAAGGTGTCCACTATATGGATGGTACCATCCACTTTAGATTAGGATGATATCCATGATATTTGGTATGATACCATCCACAATAAGGTTGGGATGCTATTCATAATTTGGGATGGTCACCGTTCGCTAAAAGGTTGGGATGATATCCATAATTTGGAATGGTCACCGTCCACTAAGAGGTTGGATGGTGTCCACTATATGGGATGGTACCATCCACCTAAAGTTGGATGTTATCCATAATGTGGGATGCAACCATCCACTTTCAAGGTGGATGGTTACCCTGAGACTAGATAATGGTGACCAAGTACTGGATGGTCACTCAAGTAGTACTTAAGGGGGGGAAATATTTTGGTGTAAGATTCAAAATTAGTAGCAAGATCCTTGAAGGTATTGTAATCTTTTGTTCCTCGAAGCTGGAACTTGAAATATTATTCTGAAGTATTTACCGTTCTACATGCTTGGTAAACTATGTTAAAATCCTGTGTATAACATGTGAAAGGTGTCCATGATTTTTTACTTTGTTTTTGGCTATAAAATATTATTATGGGGTTTCCATTATTTACTTGGGCTGTTGTAATTAAACAGCTTGAGTCCTGTCATAAGTGCCTTGCAGGATCGCTAAAGAGAGAATGAAGTTAGGGTAAGTGATCACTGTGATAAATATCCATGCATGACCCTTGGATATATTGTTATAGTTCTGCTGTGATATGTATTGACTCGCTGGTTAACAGAAGGGTTGTTTAACTGCCATTGGATGTGTATTGTGTATGCTTGTAATTTTGCAACTTCTGCAGGAATAGTTTTTCATCCTGGAATCTCTTAAAAAGACAACATTTTAGAATATAAATATCGCACAGGTTTGTTTTTAATATTAGGTGGTTCTAAAGGGATTCAAACATATTTTCAAGCTAAAAATTATGATAATATCACTAAACCAAATCCTTGTTCAAAAATCATAAAGCTGAAAATGTATAAACTGTGGTGGTAATGCTTACCCCATGCCATGATGTGGCTAAATTCACTGCTTTGACGACCGCAAATCTAATCCAAAGAATCCAAAACGAGAATACTTTACGTGTATTCTTCATAAAAAGGAATAGCAAATATGCAGAATTAAAATAACCAGAAAGGGAATGTAAACCAATCGGTATCCGGAGAGAATGTACACAACTAACTGTGCCATCAGTTTCAAACCACCACCATTGTCGAACCATGGAGCTGACAAAACCGAACCGACCCAATTCAAGGCTTCAATAGACAATGAATCACATTGAAACGGTTCAATATATCAATCTACTGAAGCTTCTTAATCCCAGGAAATGACGGAAGAATTGCTATAAGTGGATCGCCATATCCAACAGCGTCTGTTTTACCACCAAAAAACGCCACGTTAATTATTCATTTCATTACCAGAAAGCATATATATATTAAACCAGTCATGGAGAGACAATGATGAATCTTCTGAAACAAGTTACCTCCTTCCTTCCGCAGTATTCTGATTACCTCTCCTGAGACATCAGACTGAAAGGCGCAAACACTAAGGTTAAGCGAAATTCCCATGAATCTTACAAAAAGAAGCATAAATCAGTGGAGATACCTCGATTGGAACTTCACCCCCAAGCTGCTGAACATAGCAAAGCACTTGTCCCTCCTTCACAATTTGCTTCTGTAGGAAAGAAGAAAAACCATGTTAGGAGAATTACTATAACAGTCAAAGCTTGCTGGTACAATAAGACATAGATAAATGGTTTGAAACCGGCCTTAAGAGCGGGATACCTCTTTACATGCAGGAGGAGTGCGTTTTCCCTTTATTGTTCGAGATCTTTGGAAAATACCCACCTATAGAAAGAGATGTAATTTTAGTAAAATCAGATTAAACAAGCAGGACTTAATTGGCTTAAAGTGTGTATTCCCTTTATATTCTTCTGCTTTTTTCTCACCCTTGGGGATGGTAAAATCACTATGCCTTCGTCGGCAGCTCTATCCAGAAATGGCTTAATTCCTTCTGGAGATGGCAGGGCCTCTTTGGAGACAACTAATGCTGTGCTGGGAACAGATCCATTCGAACTACCTGCCTCAATAGTTGCACTGCCATTGACAGCAGCAGGTAAAGCCACAGTAGTTTGAGGAACAAGAGGTTCAGCCTTCTCAGTCAAGTCTCTGGTCACATGGAGCTGTAGTGCACCAAGCTAGCAATAGCGAATACAATGAACAACAAGAAGAAGCATCACCACTAAGTTGCTTGTTTTCAGAGACATAGATGTACACATTTCATTGGTAAAAAGACTGATAGAAAATAGCTCAAAGTTGCATTCTTACTTTTAACTCGACCTCTGCAATAGAATTAGTGTCGCAAATTTCAGAGACCAGAGATTTAATCTGCAAAAAGTTCGAAAAGGCTTTCTATGTCATCTTTATTGATAATGGATTATGCACATTCATGATGAAAGCAGAAAGGAAAGAGTTCTGAAGAAAGACGCTGGTGCTCCCGACTGTGGGATACAAACAAAGCAGAAAGGAAAGAGTTCTGAAGAAAGACGCTGGTGCTCCCGACTGTGGGGTACAAACTGATTGAAAAATATAATATAAACCAACTTAAATGTATGGGTTCAATTTGAAAACTGATGAAGTTGTCAGAAAGATAAAAAGAAGAGAGTATCCGGTATGCACCTTGTCAGTAAAGATGTGTGCCGATTAATTATGCAATACTAACATCAGTTTTATTTCCCTTCTCCAATCTGAGACCTACATTGATGCATAAACCCTAAAAGAAACTGTGTCCTAGTGTGGAACAGGAAAACAAGATTCTACAATAATGACTGTTTGTCTTCTACCAGCTACTCAATAATTTAGAAGCTCTCCTTCCATTCCATCTACTATCTGTAACCACAAATCATATATTCCGTAAAACAGTCAACTGAGGTTTTCAATCAAGAAACCAAAGCTTGACAAATAAGGAAGCTTTTATTCATAAAAAGAAAGAAAGAAACTAGGGCTATCTTCAATCCAGTTCTCCTCTTGCAATAGTGGTCTGTTACATGGGCCCTATATATGGATCCTACTAATCTACTAGTAAATATGTCAGGCTAGTCATTCATGTATTTCTTTCGTTGAATTTTGTTGTGGAATTTGGGTAGCTGTTGCTTATGCTTTAATCTTTAGAAGTTAATTGCTCAAGTTCTTAGAAGATGGCAAATCAGGGCCAAATTTTGTAATAATTTCTCCAGCAGTTCTGTTCATAGCGATCTTGGGTTTGCTCTACCTCGAATCCTCAGAACCTTTTCTGTCCAGCGCACGCTCAAGATGTTCAACCATCTACGACTCATCGTTAAAAGAATTTCAGAGACTATAACTCCAAGTAACAGCTGAATTCCCTAAATTTGTCTTGCATTACAGAATCAGTAAAAGCAAGGCATAACATCCTTGTTACTGATATATACCACAATCAAAATGACCATAGAATATAGCCCCGGAAAACACATCCCTGCGTCCAGTTTAGATATTCATTTCGATCTATTTTAAGAGAGAGATCAGCTAGATAAAATGAACTCCCCAATTTAAATCTTTGTTCTCCCAATGCAGTTAACCAAACATGTATTAGAATCAAATCTTAAATGCATTACAGAACAAGTAATCTATACAACGCCTGTCATATTTTTATAATTTGACCACATAAGTGCTTTGGGAGTTTACTAGTGGCATCGACTACTCAATTGAATATATAGCATCAACACCCTAAATTAAGACAGCCTACTCAAATGAGCAAGATAATTACCTCAGATAAATTGGGAATTTGGTAGCTTCTTTTAATTGTTGGCTTCAATTCTTCAGAGCTATCTACTGCATTTGAACCAGCAACAATAACAGCATCACATTAGACATGTACTAATGTAGGAGTAACCAATTTTGATCACTTCGATAACATAGGGGAGAGACAGACACATGATGGATAATACCCTTTAGAAATAAAATTGCCGGAATGGAGATAATTCAAACTGGTAAGATAAAAGGAACATACACTCTGTTCCAAGCGACAACTTGCTGCTTATTCTAAATGCCTTCTTTGGTTTAGATGACACTGGTAGAGGGGCATACTGTAAACGTCTCATTCTGACCCATTTATTCACGCAAGTTTTCTGGCTTAAGTTGCCATCCCTTTGTCCAACCACGTCAAACTTGAAGCCTTTGAAGTTACAAACTCCTAAGCTACCTGTATGAACAACAAGCCATCAGCTCTCACAGGATAACTTCAAATAGGATACCACTTCCCGAGCACCTTCATTATCCGACAACAGATTAATGATGGATAACATAGGAATTTAACCCAGACCACAATTTTGCAGCATGAAAAATATCATTATCTACACCAAGACTGTTCAGAAAAAGCCATGCTCCATGCATTTGGCAGAAATTGGAGGGAAAGAGGGGTTTCCTTTCGGCTGAACACATCACGACACACATTTTACTTTCTTCACATAACATGGTGAAACAAGAAAATACCATTTTCACTATTCCCATCTAATACAAGCCTGAAGCTGCAAGGAAACACAAGTAATTCTCCATAAGCGAAGTGCATAGAATTGTTACTGAAAGGCACAAGCTTTAAACGTTGGATGTTGGCAATCGGTGATCTCATCAGCAACGAAGCTACATTAGCCGAGAATCTATAGCCTAGACCCGAAACCAAAACGCACACATTTTTCTCTATTACAGGAACAAGGCAATGTAAAACCCCAATCCGATCAAATTCAGGTACCAGAGCGAAAAAAAAACATTCCCCTTACCCATCGTTCTAAGCTGCCGCAGAGTTTATTCCGCCTCGTGAATCACGCCAATTAAGAAGCTAGAAATTCCAACCTTTGAAGCAGCTTTGCGGCAAGTCAAACCAGAGTCAGGCTCGAAAGTTCCGACGTCCGTCACTCTCGTCGCCGGACCGGAGGGCGTAGCTATCTCTGCCTCCGAACGACGTGTTGGCCACCAACTGCAGCCGTTAGCTTCGATAACTAGGCTTGCAATGAACTGGCAAACTGAATTGAGAACTGGCCACAATTCATAACCTGAGCTCTGAAATAGGTTTCTTTCTGAGGACTTCAGAAAATTTTAGGCATATTTCTAATTACTCCCTAAAGTTCTTAATTTGTTTCACATGATCCCACTTAAAAACGTTACTTTTTCTAGCACTCCCCCCCCCCCCCCCCCCCCCACCATTACATCTATCTACACTACTTATAATTAGGGGTGGGCATGGGGTGGTTAATCCGCGGATTGATATCGATCCACCCCCAAATAACCCGACTCGCAAGTTGTGGGTGATTGATGTGGGTGAATTGCGGATTGATAAATCTCCCACCCGCACTTATGTGGATGGATTGCGGGTCATTCGGTTTTCACATGAAAAAATGTTGTTTCTTATAGTATCGAATATTCATCATATTTCCAAACCGCACTACGGTTTGACCATATACTTCTTAATGTGGAGAGTAAATAATTCTTTTGACTACTATTATTGGTTATTGTGCTGTGTAATATCCATTTATTGGATGTTGGATTGCAAATTATTGTTAATAACCATTACATTCTTAAAATCTCAACACAAATATCATTGGTTTGAATATTGCGCATTGAATTGAAGTGTTCAATGAAGTGTTCAATGACGAGATAAGAACACTAGTACCATACATTTCAAGAAATATAAACATGACAAACACCAATACCAATTATCTCGACAGTCTATGCTAAAATTCAAAATTGGTTAATCATTCAATTTGAATGATAGTTTAGTCAAATCAAACAAATAATTCACGATTGTGTAGGGATGGCAAAAATATCCGTAATCGTGGATATCCGTCCGAATCCGACCTAATCGGATAGGGTAGAACCCGAACCCGAAGGACATTTAGTGGGTATGGGTAAAATCCGAACCTGAATATTGCGGGTAATGGGTGGGCATGAGTTTCTCACTATCCAACCCGAACCCGCCCGATTATACACATGCATATGTATTCTGTCTAGAAATAATCATTTTTTTCTCTAACATATTTTATATTTAGTATATAAATATAATATTTTCATGAAATTGTGTTGTTTTAATTAATTTTGTTCATTCTAGTGAATTATTGTCATACTTTTCTTCTTACGTAATGTGAGAATACGTGTGAATGTTAACATATTGGTTATTGTTATGAAGAAAAATGATTACCCATGGATAACCGCGGATACCCGAAACCCGAACGGGTATGAGCATGGTTTTAATTTTCTACCCATTTCACATGTGAGTATGTGTATAAGTAAAACCCGAACTACTTTGGATAGGGTAACGGATATGCACTATCCGTCCCCGACCCGACCCATTGCCATCCCTACGATTGTGTATGAACAAAAATAAAAACATATTATTGTCTTATAAAAAATGTATTTATTTTAACAATCTAAAAAAAACAATCAAGACTTCCATATGACCCCTTATTTCAATAATGTAATTAATGAAATAATTTTTATCAGCATGATGCAATGTCAAACTAAGGTCCAAGTATTAATCACCAGTATATAGTATTCATCAGAGTTAACTATTTCAATATCCACAACTAACTATTAATGCTTACTTGTTTTCTCTTAGAGAGTTTAATGTAGCACTCTCATGCCTAGCTATGCTCTAAGCATTTGTTTTCTTTTTCACAATATCATTTGCATTTGCCGTTATTTATTAAATCAACTTTGTTTCTAGCTTTCAATTCCTAATTATTCACTTCTTCATACCAACTTATGGGAATGCTAAATATATATTTTTCATGTCTAATCTATTAAACATAAATGTTGCTTATCACTTAAATTCAATGCTATCCATGTTAGGTTTGAAATCACCAACATATTCTCCCAATTTCTCCAAAAAGCATAATATCTTGCGATTGATATCATAGTTTCGTTAGGTAAAGTTCAACAAACTCAATCAATATTCGAACTCTTCGAAATAGCTATCTACATGCGAATATGAAGTACTGAGTAGCTAAAACTCAATCTTTTGCGCCATCGATTCCAAATTCAATACATGATTATCTTATTACAATTTAGTCATACTAATTGTGCAGTAGGGGACATCTTATCAAAATCTTAAAGAAAGACTCTTTGATTGATCACTTTCATGATGTAATCAATTATACCAAAATAGAAGTGATCAAATTTATAAGATGCACTCAAAGTTTGCTATAATTATTGAGGTTCAGCAGCACGTTAGGCGTACGACGGTCATTGGACATTTGTCTATCTCCTAGCTCGCCTAGACATGCTTAGACATTATAATAAAAATAGCAATTTTAATAATAATGAATAAAATAACGGTTCTGAAGCACTTTCATACTTTAGTTCAAATGATTTAACAACAAATGAAATAACTCTCACGTTTATAAATTATTTTCTTTTACCAAATGATATAATTAATTCATTCTTGAGCTGAAATAGGTAATTATAAGCACTTCAAATTTAAGTTAAAACTCTATATGATGCAATTGTTTGACGAAATGGGTTTTATAATAGAGTGGTTCTATCGAGAGAGGTCTCTAAGAAACATGGCTTACTTTGTTATTCCTTAGGTGGAGATAATATCTATCTTCGTCGTTACTTTTACATTAGATTCAATTTAGTATACTTTTTCATTTAGATAGATTTTTTGATGATGTTCTGGGATGTAATATATCATTATATATGATGGTGTAGGATATTAATTCCCCTCATTTTAGGTTCAAATTGATGGATTTTCCCCTTTACCGTTCCCTTTTATTGGTTAATAATTTTTATGATTTTTTCACTTTGAAATATCGTGAGCGGAATCTATACACAACAATTTGTGTTTTTCCGCTTCCTCTTCTCTTGGTTAGATATTGTGTCCATATTAATTCCTGTATTGATTATCGAATTACTACTTTTTTGTTTTTTTTTTCTTATGCAAGATATGATTTTATGTTTGATAATATACATTTATTTTTCAAGCATGTGGATGCTTGAGACTTTTCATTTGCCTCATAACTTACATTTTACAATGGCTCCAAACTTGGATGGGTTTCTATTCAGCACATAAACTTTTAATGATGTAAAATTTATGAAACTAAGATGCATATTAATAAACAATGTAAGGTCTCATCTTCCCTCTTAAGCACTACATATCATTGTTTACTTACCATTAAATCAAAGTCTTTCTAACTTGAGTAATAGCTACAATAACTTTTATTAACTTTCACTACTCATATATCACAAGTGTTCAAATCATTATCAAGTGTTCATACAATGACTTTTAATGTTGTGGATTTCCCCCAAAATGTTAGGTATGCTTCTTTTAGTTTTTGCCTTCTTTTCGCTTTGATTTAGCTTTTTATGTGTTGCTCTATTAGTTGAACTTGCCAACTGGACATCTGCATGCTTTGTTTCATTATATCATTGAATACACTAGAGTCAATGGAACCATGACTGTATCAGTTAGTTTGTTTCTTTTTAAGGACACTCTAAACATATACTTTGTTTCATTATATCATTGAATACACGAAAGTTAATGGAAAAGGCAAAAAAATTTATCGTATACTGAAGATTGATTATGTATGTGTGATGTAAAACAACTCTTATCATTGTTCTTCTCATACATTTTTATATAGATATGAATTTGTTTGAAAATATGTATTTATGTTAGTGTAGTTGGACGTTGTTTGTCATTTTTTAAACTTCATTAGTCAAATACATTAAATACTTTCTTATATTATTCATGGAGAACTTACCAAATTAAATAGTTACTTCAATCTCCAACAACATGAACCATAAAAAAACATATACCTCAATGTTTACTACACATACACATAAAACCAAACTCTCCCGGCCAAGAGGCCGGGCCCTAATCTAGTTACTCATAACGAGTAAAAACTAAAAAGGGGAACTAACAAGTTCGTAATCGCGAGCCAAAATGGGGGTTAATTGCAATAGATACCATTTAAGTGTCAGTTTGGTTGCAAGTTAGCCACTTAAATTTGTTTGGTTGCAACTAAAGCACTTAAGCCCTATTTTTGTTGCATTGTTATCTTTTCCATCCAAAAATTAACGTCTAGTATGAAAACGTAATTTTCCAGCCACACAAATATTACCAGCTCAGTCTAAATTACTGATTCACATAGTACAAAACAAACTTTCCTTAGATAAGAAACAAAGAAGATTAAACCAGAAACCAAAGCAAAATGAAGAATTGACCTAGCTCTCTTCCACTCTTCTCCTATTTCGTAAAATTGAAATTGAAAAAGAAAAACTAAAGCTCATCCTCTTTCGAATGAAGATCAAGCCCAAGGACAACCAAACTTTCATGACCAGAATAATTGTGGCCACTGCAAAGTTACCCTGTTTCTATACAGAAGAAACAGAGTATCAACATATACTCAATCACGACGTTGTGTAAAGGAATTTTCTATTCCAGTCGAAACCTTCACTGAGAGGAACCAGCAAAATGACTGTCTTGTTGTTGCTATTTTCATCGGTCGACAGACTGCAGCTCAGAATCTCGAATGCGCTGTAGATAATTCTAAGCAACGGAAACATTGCAGGAAAACGGTAGATATCAACATGGATGGGGCTCACTCGATAGAGTAGCTATCGACGAACTATTCTGGTCAGGAGTAGGGTTATCGACAATAGTGGGCGGAGAGATGAATTGGCGATTGGCGAGGTGAGATGGTTGGTTTGAGTAGGTGATATGATCAATGAGGTAGTGGGCAACAAAGATTCGACGAATGAGTTATATTTATCCGCAGTAGATGTTGGAACTTACAGAGGTAGCAAATTGAGGCTATAGTCTTTCTATCTAGGCTTGTCCGATGTACCAGATTGGTTGTGGTGGTGTTCAGGTGAGGTGGCGGTGGAGAGGAGCTTAGCGGATGAAGTGCAGGTGAGGACGAGGAAGATCTCATAGGTGGTGGAGCGCATGTCGGAATTTCTAAGTTGGGAGATGAGCTGACTTAGTGGGCACTCGAGGTTGGCGGTGAATGGCCTGATGGACATTGTTAATGTAGGACTAGATTTGGAGCTTGGGGGAGAAGGAG